GCTTTAATGGACATAAAACACGTCCAAGGGTAAAACCGACATTTTTGTGAAAACTTAAGGGCTTTTATGTCATTTCCCCTTCAAGGGGAAGAGGAAATGAAGTTCTAGTGGGTTATGAAAAAAAAGTTTGGGTTACTGATAAATTTGTATCTGATAATGATATTTTTGTATCAGATAATGATAAAGAAGCAAAAGTGGGCATGACTGAATTAGAACGTCAAAATTTGTTCGAGTTTGGAGAAGTTCCTAAAATTGATGATCGAAGATGTGAGGAAAAATCAAATGAAGGGTGGTCGGATGATGAGTACATGCAACGAAAACTGCTTTTAAACCATGGTATTGTATTCCTCCTATTCCTGATTGTTCAGAACCTATTCTAGAACCTGGACCATTTCACAGTTTAGGTCCGAATGATAAATTAATTGCCAATCAAACCTATAACACCAAAAAAGAGCTAGCATTTGCTGTTAAATTCAAATCCGTTAGAGAAAAGTTTCAGATAAAGGTTGAAAAATCTTCAAAATCTCGGTACCAAGTTGTTTGTATGCAAGAAAACTGTCATTGGCGTTTATATGCATCTCCTATTAAAGGAACAGAAATGTTTGAAATTAAGACGTTTAATGACGATAATACCTGTTCTTCATTGCTTATACACCCAAATTATAGGCAAGCAATTAGCGAAGTTGTGGGAACCATAATACATAACATTATGGGTCAAGGAAGTTTGAGAGTTTGGAAGCCTAATGATATAATTAGAGATATGAATGCTTTGCTACAAATAAATATGAGTTACTCACAAGTGTGGCATGCTAGAGAATTTGCTTTGGGATTGATTATATGACCTCAAATAGTGCGGAGTCCATGAATGTTGTATCAAATAAAGCAAGGAAGTTGCCTATATTACCACTTTTTGAGTTCTTTCGCGCACTTATACAGAAATGGTTTTACAAACGGCGGATGGTTGTAGGTATGATTATTTTTAATTTTAAATTATATGATAAATGTCATATATAATAATATATGTTTGTTTTAACAGAAAAAAGTACAAAAATACTTACGAAGTGGGCTGAAGATATGGTTAAAAAAATAAAGAGGGGATTCAAGGATGGTCGGTATCCGGTGTTAACAATACAACATATCAAGTGCATGACTTCAAAAGTAGCGGCATAGTGAATTTGAGGGAAAAGTGTTCTTGCAAATATTGGCAACTAACTGGTTTGCCATGTGTTCATGTGATAATGGTTTTAACGCACTTGAAAAATGATCACTGTGGGATATGGCTATAAATGCTTATAAAATTGAAACATATCGAAGAACGTACGAACAGGCCGTATACCCTCTTTCAGAACTTAGTGAGTGGGAGGTTCCGGATGACCTTATGGTTGTTAACCCTCCTGTGATGGAAATACGTCAAGCCAGTAGACCAAAAAACACCAACCGTATTCCCTCTCAAGGTGAGGAACCAAAAATAAGAAGGTGTACTAGATGCCATAGCACAACTCATAATGCAAGGACGTGTAAGGAAATCGTTCCAAAGAACCAAAATAAAAGTAAAAAAATGTATTAGGGAGTCAGGAAGTGGGACAAAAGTGACAGAAAAGGAACTGACGCAAGCGACCGAAAACCAATGGCAGCATGAGCCAGAGAACCAATGGACGCAACATACCGAACAACAATGGCAGCAACAATCAGACAACCAATGGGCACAACACACCGAACATCAATGACAGCATCATCCAGACAACCAATGGACACAACAGACCGAACATCAATGGCAGCAGGAGCCACATAACCAATGGACGCAAGCGACAGTAAACCTAGGGACATAAGCAATAGATAACCCATAGACGGAATACGAAAACAGATCAAAGTTTTCGTGGTTCGATTTAAATGAATGAAGTTTATTTCAAAGTATGTTTATTATGAAGGTTGTATGTTTATGTTTTCTAAAGTATGTTTTGTAACCTATAAAAAACATGAAATGTTTGTATAATTTTAATTAGGTTATTTATATGCACCGGTTTGTATTACGTTATTTATATGTATTTGGTTTGTATTAGGTTATTTACGAAACCAGTTGAATTAACTTCTACTTTATTCCATAGAACATAAAATACAAAACAGTACAAATATATGGAAAACATACATCAGTAACAAACGTATTACATAAAACATTTCATTATTTTTAACATTTTTTTGTCAAATTTTTTACATAATAATCACATAAGGTATTAGTGTATTTTAAAAAAATATATTAATAAACAAAAATTAACGCAAAAAAAAACGAAAAAAATGAAAAAAAAAATTAAAAAACCAAATTCCTCAGAACT